GTGACAGAAGATGAGATGGGGCAAGACAAGAATGAAGTTGTCAAAACTGGTGTATAAATGCCTTAGATACAGAATCTGGAATTATAGTATGCGTAGAGAAATGTGCTGTGAATGTATTTACCCTGTCCCCTGAAGGTGGACTTACCAATAACCAGGGTTAGATGCTCCAAGGATGGATTTATCCCAATCAGACAGGGGACTCAACTCCACAATGGCAGAAAAAGAAATACAAACAGAAATCACGGTCTGGGCGGCATGGCTCAGCGGTTGAGTGTCAACCCATGAACCAGGAGATCACTGTACCTTATCTCACAGGTGTCACTTAGGAACAGTCATGTGGGTGGGTGATGCTGTGTCTAGAGTGCAGATTTACCTTCAATCTCAGTGCTGAAGAGGCGCATTTTGATGAAGGACTTACTCCACAGTGACAGGTAGCATTTCCCGCAAATTGATGATAAGAAGTGACAGGAGGAGGAATTGGAGAGAGCAAACTAAAGAGAAAATAACCCCAGTGTCCCACATTGGGCACTGGAACGTTACCAGAAAGGGGCTGGCCTGGAGTAGGTCTGCCACAGGCCAGTTGGTAGTATGTGGGATCTTGACTTCGTGTAGGAACGATTTCCCAATACGAGTCCAGGGGATTCTGACAGTACATTTATTAAATGGGGGCAGTGAAACAAAGGAAGAACTTAAAGCAGAAAAATCAACAGGAGAGACCTTAGGTGGTAATCTGCTTTGGCTCATTAGAAAAGGTATAGAAAATAAGTGAGCCAAGGCAGGGCTGTTTTTAGGTCACTGGGAAGTCAGAGAAAAAGGAGGGCTTGGAGACAGGATCAGGGGGTAAGCCTGAGTGGAGCTACCACTTTCCACTGCTCCCTGGTTACAAGTTTCATGGGGACACTTCGAGTTCAGGAAGAAAGCACACCCATACTAAGTCTTTGTCTTGAGGGAATTTTATTATTTCTTTTTCCTCCGAGCAAGAGTCTTAAGGAAGGGTTTCCGTATTCGTCAGCTTTCCAGGTGTGTTTCTAATATGCTGATGCATCAATATGAGCATATGGGGAGTTTTGCGCACTACCCTCTGGTCAGCTGTACTGTTATGCTTTTACATCAGGTCTGTCTGGCTTTAAAGGGGTTTTTATTATCTGTTTCCCTGACTTCATGGTCCTTGGATTTGGCTGGCACAAATGGCATTAATTGGGTCTTGGTGCTCTATTTCTCAGACCATGGTAATTTAAGCTATGTGTTCTCTGGTCAGGGAGGAGGGTATAAACCATTTGCTCTCAAGTGTCCTTTGCTGGGGAAGATAAGATGTTGCGATTCACAGGCTGACTGGAAGTAGTTCTAACTGCTCGGCAGTGTTTAATTTTCTTGTCTCAGTTTCCCTATTCCAGTTGCCCAGGAATTTTCCTAGCTTCTTAATATCCTGACACAAAAGACGACTGAGAAATTTTGGAAGACTGAAATCATACCAAGTGCCTCTTCCTAACAATGGATAAAACCAGTAATCAACACCAAGAAGAAAGCTGAAAAAAAACCCCTAAAACTATGTGGACATTAAACAACACACTGCTGACCATTCAATCAAAGAAAAAATAAATCAAACGGAAAATTGAAAAATATGTAAGAAAAACGAAAATGGAAACAAGTCTGGCCATAGTGGCTCAGTTAGTTGAGTGTCATCCTGGGGACCGAAGAGTTGCTGGGGTGACTCTAGGCCAGAACACATGCCTGGGCTGTGGGCTGGCTCGCCAGCTGGGGCATGCACAGAAGGTAACCCGTCAATGTTTCTCTCAGTTTCTCCTCTCTCTCCCCCACGCCCCTCTCTCTAATCAGGTCCTTGAGTGAAAATTACAAAATAAGTAAATACATAAATAATGGTAACATAACATACAGAACATGGAAAAGTTCAGAGAAACGTTCAGAGCTATAACCACCAATATGAAGAAAGTAGAAAGATTCCAAACACTCTAACATTACACCTTGAGAAACTCGTACAAGAGTGAAGTTAGCAGCCCCAGCCAGGCGGCTCTGGTGGTTGGAGCATTGCCCCGGAAACCAAAAAGGCTGTGTGCTTGACATCTGGTTCCGGGTCAGGGAACATGCCTAGATTTCCGATTCGATCTCCAGTTGGGGAACGTATGCAACCAGTTGATGTTTCTCTTTCTCTTTCCCTTTGTCTCTCTCTAAATTCAATAAACATATCCTTGGGTGAGGATTGAAAAATAACAACAATGGGCCCGGCCGGGCGTGGCTCAGCGGTTGAGCGTCGACCTGGGATCCAGGCCACCAGGGTTCGATTCCCGGTCAGGGCACATGCCCGGGTTGTGGGCTCGATCAATGACTCTCTCATCATTGATGTTTCTGTCTGTCTCTCCCTCTCCTTTCCTCTCTCTGAAATCAATAAAGATGTATTTTAAAAAAAAAAAAAGCAAAATATCTGTTTAAAAAAAAAATAAAAATAACAATGGTAATTCTAGCTTTAAAAAACAGTTTTAGCACAGCCAGTGTGACTCAGCAGCTGAGCATCAACCTATGATCCAGATCTCGGTTCCATTCCCCGTCAGGGCACATGCCCAGGTTGCGAGCTTGTTCCCCAGAAAGGGGATATTGATATTTCTCTCTCCCTCTCCCTTTCTAAGTCTGAAATCCATAAAGACATATTTTAAAAAACCCAAAAACCAGTTGTATAAATGGCTGACATCTTATAGGCTTTCAATACATGTTAATCTTTTTTAAAAAATAAAATAAAGTCACCAGAGCAAAGAAAAATACAGGGATCAGAGGGAAAACAAGTAAAATAGAAACTAGAAAAACAATAAGATCAACAAATCTAAGAGCTACTTTTTTAAATATATAAATAAAATACATAAATAACCTTTAGCTAGGTTAACTTAGAATAGAGAGAATACTCAAATAAATTAATTCAGAAACAAAACAAGAGAAATTGTAACTGACAGCACAGAAACAAAAAGGATCTCAGAAGACGATCATGAAATCAGATACCCCAGAAGACACAGGTAAACTGCCAGAAACACATAACCTACCAACACTGAATCAGGAAGAAACAGAAAATCTGAATAGAATAGTAACAAGTACAAGAAAGTGAAATCAGTACAAAAAAAACTCCTCAACAAACAAAAGGGCCATGACGAGACAGATTCACTGGTGAAGTCTACTAACATTTTAAAGATGATTAATGTCAATGCTTCTTAAACTCTTCCAAAGAGTTGAAGAAAAAGAAACACTTCAAAACTCATTTTAGGAGACTAGCATCAAGCTGACATCAAAAGCAAGACAAGGACACTAGAAAACATTACTACAGTGCAACATCACTGATGAACACAGACATACAATGGCGAAAACCCTAAACAAATTACTAACAAAAAAATTCAACAGCATTCAAAGAATCATAAACAGTGATCACGTGGGATTTATCCCTCGAATGCAAGGATGGTTCATCATAAAAAGTCAATAAATGTGCTATACCACATTAACAGAATAAAGGGGGAAAAGAGCTTATGCTCATACCAATAGAGCGAGAAAAAGCACTTAAAATTCAGAATATAGTCCTGATAAAACTAACAATAACATTGGGTGTAGAAGGTATGTACTTCAATGTCAGAAAGGTCATAGCCTTTCTCCAAGATCAGGAACAAGTGAAAGGTGCACACTCTCACCACAGCTTTCCAAAACAGTACTGGAAGTTCTAGCGTCAATAACAAGGCAAGAAAGAGAAATGAAAGACATACATGTCAAAAAGAAGTAAAACTGCCTGTTTGCAGATTACATAATTTTATATAAACAAAATTCAAAAAACAACAACAGAACAACTTCAGAATGAATAAAGCAGAACAATAAACTTGGAAAATTCCAAATCCACATACAAAAGTAACTTGAATCTATACACTAATAATGAAATATCTCAATAAGACATTAAGAAATCAATCTCACAATAGCATAAAAAACAATAAAATACTTAATGACTCTGAAAACTGTAAGACAGTGATGAAAGAAACGAAAGAAAGCTCAGCCAGTAGGTTTCAGCGTCCACCTACAATCCAGGAGGTCACAGTTTGATTCCCCGTCACGGCACATGCCCAGGTTGCGGGCTCGATCCCCAGTAGGGGTTGTGCAGGAGGCAGCTATCGATGAATCTCTCATCATTGATGTTTCTAACTCTCTCTCCCTCTCCCTTACTCTCTCTGAAATCAATAAAGACATATTTTTAAAAAATAAAACCTCAAAATTATAGATAAAGAGCAGAATGGCAGGATCTGGACAAAACAGGAACCTACTGGTTAAATGGTACAATCTTTCCTTTACAAGATGAGTGAATTCTGAGAATGTAATTAGGAGCATGGTGACTGTAGTTAATAATGTTATACTTGAAATTTACTGAGAGTAGACCTTAAGCATTCCTAGCATAATAAAATAAAGTAACTTTATATGCTGATGGATGTTTAAATAACTTCACTATGGCAATTACTTCACTATATACCTATATATTTAAAATCAGCACATTGTACATTTTTATTGTTTATATCTCGACAAGGGTAGAAAGAAAAAAAATCTACACTACACACTGTAGGAGTGTTAAAGAAAAGCCCATGGTTCATACAAGTAACGACCATGACAATACCTGCAACTCCTGGCACAGGTAGACAGGAGGAAATGAGTTAAAAGAAGGGATCCAACCCTGGGATAAGAAGGGATATGGATCTGGACACATTAACCCAGACATTGAGAGGGCAAGCATGGTGAATCCATTAAACTAAATGCAATACAACTGACCTTGAACCCCTTCCTAAAAGGATTCGGTAATGGGAATGCAGGGGAGAGAAGAGAGCAGTGCAAACCAACCAGCTCTAGCAATACAGCAACTACCCAGACAACAGGGGAAGCAAGCAGTGCTTGTGGTCCACACCTGAGGACAGAGAGAAGTCGGGGTGGAGGAAGTAGAGCCTAGTCCAAGTCACCAGTGAGGCTGTGAGTCTTACCCAGAGAGGATATAAGTGCAAAGTTCTCCAGCATTACACGCAGGTACAGGCGTCTCTGAGCCTCATCAAGCAGCCTCCACTCCTCCCAGGAGAAGTGCACAGCAACGTCCCCAAAAGTCACACTGGCCTGTTATAATGGGGACAGAGGAAAAACCATGAGCATTTGGTCTCTGAGCACCACAATCCATCTCCCCACACATCTACCCCACACTCACCCTCCCCCAAAGCTCCCCACCTCGGGGAATTCCATACCCAGGTGCCACTGATGCCCACTCTACCCTCAGGGTCCCTTTACTTATTATGTCCAGCCCTCAGCAACATCAGGCAGGAAGGCACAGAGATGTAACCCAATTCTGGTCCTGGCTTGTAGGGTCCCATCCATCCTGTCACTAATTCCCTTGGGGTCTCCAGGCCGTGACAAGACACAGCCAAGGGTAGGCTCTCGCGTCACCATTCCGCCCCCAACCCTAGGGCCCTGGGACCCTAACTTCCTCCCCATTCGCACATCATTCTGTAGACTGTCTCTCCCTCACCGTCACTGCCCAGCTGCACGCCCACAGCTGCGCCCTTGGGGAGATGCTGCTCTGGAGGCCTCCTCTATACCTCTGGCCTGGCTCAGTATCAGCCTCCCGGGAGCGTGTGAGTCTCCGGTGCCCACGACCCCCTTCCACCTCCGTGCCGTCCCCTCCGCAGCCACAACGTCCTCTCCCCACTCGACCTTCCCTAAAGCCCAGTCCTGACGGTCCCTGTTAGACAGACATGAGCAGAGGTGGGAGGCCCGGCGGGTAAGAAACTCACCAGCGCAGAAAGCCCGGGATGCCTACCTAGCAAGGGGCAAAACTGGTAAAACAAGAACCTTGTCCCCAGGTAACCCGTCCTCCCCTAACACAGCGCTGGTCACGCGGTTTAGACCCCTGACCTTTCCTTCCTGAAAAAAAAAAAACACAAAACCTAGGCCTCAGTTGTATCTCAACGCCAGGCCCAGAAAAGCAGCAAAACCAGACAAGTGACTCCCAGGCCCTCTCAGGACCAGCTGCGCTGACTAATGGCCCCGACGGGCACCAGCCAATCCGTGGGGAGCGCGGCCTGAAAGGCCACCTGGCACCTGGTGAAGGCTCCACGGCACCCTCCCCGCGCCCCCCCAAGATTCCTGCCTCCAGGAGAGAAACAGCCCAGGACAAAGCACCGCGCCCTCCTTTCCCCTTCTCCCCTGAAGGGCCCTGCAGGCCGTGCAACCAGGGGACCGGCGGGCAGCACCGGCTCCTCCCGGTCGCCCCCGAACCTGTTCCGGGGCCCCTCCTCTCTGCCCGGCGCCCGGCCCGGGCCCGCC